CTCTCTCTCTCTCTCTCTCTCTCTCTCTCTCTCTCTCTCTCTCTCTCTCTCTCTCTCTCTCTCTCTCTCTCTCTCTCTCTCTCTCTCTCTCTCTCTCTCTCTCTCTCTCTCTCTCTCTCCCCCTTTCTCTTTCTTTCTTATGCATTAATACGTTATTACCACAAGCAAATTTCGCCGTAAATTATAATACTACATTGAAAATTATCTTTGCCGGAACAGTCGCTATATAGTTCGCCGGTAATTGTTATCGCAAAAGATAACCGCGACTGGTACATTTCCCGTGCCAGCGAAGATTCGAATCCGATTTAATGTGTACAACGCGCGTTCAAATCAATAAAGGAAATATGTTCCACCACAGTTGTTACTTCCGCGCATTCAATTTTTTATTTATGCAAGTATTTAATATAATAATTATACAGGATGTCATGCGATGACCGAATTAGCCGAGAAATTTAGACAGAGCGAGGCGAACTGAATCGAAAAGTTCTGTATCACTTTGCAATGTTCACATTAGTCGAGTAATAAATAAAAACGTCTAGGCGAATGAGCGCACGAGAAGCGGTAAATCGGGTTTGGCGGGCATACTAAATGTCTGATTTGTTTAGTCTCGTAGCAACGGTGGGCGTCGGATAGGGAGGTGGAGTGACGTACCGAAAAAAAAGTCGTCACGCAACGAACGACGAGCTACAAATGGTGCTTTACCCCCCCCCCCCTCCGCTACGAGACTAAACAAATGAATCGTTTAATGTCTGCCGAGTCTGACCTACAGCTTCTCGTGCGCTCATTCGCCGAGACGTTTTCATTTATTACTCGAAAACTATTGTAAACTTTGAAAAATGATAAAGAACTTTTCGATTCAGTTTGCCTCGCTCTATCTAAACTTTCCGACTAATTCAGTCATCGCATGACACCCTGTACATGCACCTGATAGAAAAGACTACTTTACGCGGCAGGTAATGGTCCAGATCGAAGGATCCGAAAATCAATCCGACGAAATCCTGGTGGAAGGGTTCACTCTGGTTGATCGGATTCTGCTCTTCTCCCCGAACAAATAAAAAGTTTGCTCGGCCGTTGGCACTTGGAAAGCTTCCCTAAGTCTGCACCTTAGTCTGCTTTAAGAGGCTCGCAAGCTCCGCACGCGGGTCGCCGACCTGAACTTAATACGTACACTTATCACGCTGCAATGATCTTGTTAGCAACTTTCGTTCATCGGCGTCTGGAGGCGGAAAGACGGAGGGTGAGCTTTCGAGCTTAGAGATGGTTAAACGCGCTTTATTGGCTTTGGAAGCCTCGGAAAAGCTCACCTCGTTCCAGAGCAATGCAAACTTCAGCTCTCGAGAACGAGAACTGCTTTATTTGTGCCTTGTTTCGATGAAATGAACCGAACGCAAACTCGAACTAAACTCGATCAATCGCTCAGCGGAATAATTTGAAGAATCCACAGTATTTTTAAGAAAAGGATACGTTTTCTTAAGAAAATATTGTGAACCTCTTTGAAAGCGTGAAAGAAATGAATTTTTTATCTACCCACATTTCATCCTTTATTAAGAATTGCGAAATCTCTTCAGTCTCATAATAAAACGCGCAAGGCGCTGACATTGTACATACACATATTATTATTTTATTCACCTTCCACGCTTCCTTTTATTCCATTTTGTTCTCGAGCCAGTCGAATGAATCCAAACGAGCTTTGTCTTGAGCTCGCCGAATGAAATTGGTCAATTTAAAGTTTCTCACTTACCCACATCCTTCGAACCGCCCCATGTTCCCAGCTGAGCTTGACGGGCTAATCGGGACAGAGCGTCGACGTAAACTCGTGACGCCGCCGCAGCTCCTGAAAAGGTAGCTACTGTTAATTATGACCTTAGTTCAGTTTGACACTGATGTAGATTCGTCCATTAATTTATATTAGTATCTGTTAATAAATTCATCAATACAATCAATTTTTACTGATATAAGAACATCATGTTATTATTTTAATATACTTAAAAATTTTTCCACATTCTTTTTATCTTCGGTTACTACTCAAATAAACGAAATCGGTACGATCGCCTAATTCGAAAAGAGTCGTTAACTTTACTATTTTTTTGTTTCTTTCTTGTGTAAAATGGACAAAGATAGTTGATGAAGTAAGTTCTCACATTAAGGCCTGTAATGTTTCGTATTTCTTTGTAATTACAAAAATATCCTAAAAAAGATTGACCAAATTTTGTAACGATGCCGCCTCGACTAATATTTTTAGACAGAAATTTTAAGTATCCTGTACCACGGTGCGGATTTAACGCGGGCAAACTGGCATTTGCATGGCGCAAAGAAGGACGACAAAAAAAACATGTTCACGCGTTTCTTCCCCTGTGTTCGATACGAAAGGCACGGACGAGATTCACTCTCCAAACGAGCGATCGCGTCAATATAATAAAAAGACCGACGGAGCCACTCGCGGTTATCAATGAAAAACGACCCCCCTTCAGGCCGGCACTCGTTAGGGGTTATGGGGCAGAAAAATTGGGACGATCCGGGAAAGAAGTAGCGAGGAAGACGAGTGGTGGCAGAGCGGGGCGGGGGACGAGGAAGGCAAAGAGCGGTATATCGGTGGAAATTGTGTGTTCCATCCCCGCGGGCAAATCCCTCATAAATAGCGGGCTTGTACGCTACCTAACGGACTTAAAAGGCGAAAAAAAGACGGGGAAAGAGGAGAAGGGGGCAAATGACGGAGGAGAGAAAGGAGCTGGTCGAACAAGGAACCGTACGTGCTGTATCTCTGGAGAAACGGACTCGCAGGGGGGTCGTAGGGTCGGTTTATGTGCCGCGCCTTCCCGCTGCGATCATTCCCTTTGTTCCCAACCGTCTCCTCACCTTCTCGAGAAATGGAGCCGTGCTCGAAATACGTTTGTTGTTTCATTAAAGCCCGGCAAGAATTTTAGCGCTTCTCGAAGTGCAAGAGGAGTGTCTGCGAGGGTCTCGAAAGTAATCCAAATATCTACAAGTGTATTATAAAGTCTGATAATTTAGCCACGTTAAGATTTAAGTTTCTCCTGAACATTTTATGAACGCACAGTCTTACTCCAACCATTTTGCACATTGAGAATTTTCACTTAGAATAATAAGTAAATAGAGTTTTGGACAAATCAGAATTCGATGCGACGATTGATAACGTTCCCAATTAAAAAATTCCCAAAACGGAAAATTTCGGCTCCTTTCGCGTGGCTACACGTTAAGTTTTCTCCGGTAGATCGCAAGTACAAGGGACGGCAGGGGATGAGGATACAGAGAGTGAATTTACGCTTCATTCGTAGGTACACGTTAGGTATACACGAGGAAGAAACGAGTGGAGCGTAAATTATGGCACTCTTGAAGCTCGTTCTACCTTCTCTCCCTTGTCGGCTCGCCCCTCTCCCCTCCCCCCCCCCCCCACCAGGACGCCGACCTCAAGTATAGCGCTCGTTTTCGGAGGGCGGCTTTTATTTATTGTTTCGTGCCACCCAACACGCCATTCTTTCGCGCGAGAAGTTTTATTTAAAAATTATATCATACGCGATACTGCCTTTTCACCCGCTCCGCGGTTTTCCAGCTGGGGCCGACTCGTTCGATGTAGTTTCTTTAGCCCAGCGATAATTGGGGATTCAGCTAAATTCTGCGCGTGCACGTTACAGCGAATTCAAGAGTATATTATTTCATTAATATTTGAAATTGAAATTCTCTTGGGTATTGTTTTAAAATTTCTGAGTTACGGGCGATCGAGATGAAAAATTCACGATTTACACTTCGGGAACGAACACGAAAGTGGCATCGTCCTCTTTATTATTCATAATTATATTCGTCACATTTATCACTCGCGTACACGTATTATCATGTTATATTTATCATAATTGTAAAAGAAATATATCAAAACAGAATAATAATAACAGAATGTGTCCGGTTCACGGTCTCGTCAGGCAATAATTTCGCCGCGAGGACTGTGCTTCATATCCGAGTTCTACGATACAGAATTTTGCGACGACATCGAAACTCGCACGTCGACAGCTGTCGCCGCCATTTTTCGCGTATGTTTCGTTGCAGCCTCCAGCGAGACATACATGAACCAAAAAAAGAAGAGCGAAAAAGAAAAATACGATTTCCCTTGTAGCCGTTTCTCCTCTTCTATTTTTTTTTTGTGGCGGAACAAAGTCTGCGAGGAAATTTAACGGCACGGGAGATTTAACTGCAGCTCCCCATGTTGCCAATTTCAATCATGGTTAATCATTTTCATTATCCCATTATCTCTTTGATATTCGGCGAATAAGCTGTTATGTAGATTGAAAAAAAACGTTTTCTGCGAAATTTCACGAAATTTTTTATTATGTTAATTATTAAATGCCTCAGTGGTCGAATTGGTGAGACGTCCGCCTAGAGTGTAGGAAAGTCCAGGTTCAAACCCTGGCTGAGGTATTAATATTTTTCGCAGTGAATTTTCTATATGTCAGATATGGTCAAGAAAACACTGACGTTGTTAATTACTGCTGACGACATTAAAAAATATTCTTATCAGTTAATAATTGAAATTCTTCGTTATGTCTTTCTTAACTTTCTCCCGTTTATACTATTTAAATATACCATTCAATGTGAACATGCGAAAGGTATTTAAATATCAAAATACAGATTAGGTTGTGCAAACCTCCACAGATATCCTAAAAGTTTTTATCATAATTGGTGAAATTGTTCACTAATACTCTAGCATCTCTACTTAAAAATTATCACGTACACACGCCCGCGTGCAATTATACTTTTCGTTTCGCGGAAAATCCAGCGTCGGAATTCCCCGTGCAAATATTCCGAGTTTCAAGCACTCCAAGTAGCGGCGTATTATTAAAACGCCAAGTATCGAACATCGCGGAACACGCGGTATAATCGTAAGCAGAAATATCCGGCGCTTCGCACTCGCCCCTCTCTCTCCCCCGGCATCCCAGTGTCGCTCGGGAATGCGTAAACCGTTTGGAACATAACCGGGTGATGGTGGTGGCGATGGTGGGGTCGATGGTGGAAATGCTGACTCGCCCACCTCCTTGTTTGCGGCTGTTCCGGCAACCCCCGAGCGACTCCGGGGATTGGAAGCAGGCCGAGTTCGTCATCGGCGAACGCACCCCATTGTCCGATAGTCATCCCTCGTCTTCCCCCAGCTGTCGGCAAACTTCGGACTGTCCTGTATCAACCCTTCACCGCAACGTTCCTCATCTAGCCCATCTCGGAGACATCTCGATATCGATATACGACGCGGTTATATCGGGTTATATCGGATTCGAGGGGAGCTCTCGCGCGGACGGGAATTCAAGACGTAGGGCTATACTGTTCATATCTCAAGATATGAACAGTATTGGGTATTCAGAGTCTTGGACACTCGCCGCTTCGGGAGAAATTGTGAAATTCAGAATATTCACAGCTTCCTACATTTCGAAACTTTGTCAGCGGCATTCACAGACGACAAGAATTAGAATTTCGACAATAGGACGCTGCGAACATCGAGAATTGCTTCAAACGTCGAAATACGAATTATATTCAAACTAGACGTGAAAAAGGTAGTGAAGTCAAACGGAAACTTTGGGTAAAAAATTTGATTAATAGAACGTGTTCCTTACTCCCAAAAATGGGGTTTTCACCTCATTAATTACTCAGTATGTGCAGTTTCAAAAATTTATAGCAAAGATCTGAAAAAAATCTCATTTCGACGCTTATTTATTTGTCTTTGAAGCACAATTTTGGAAAGTCAGCAGTAAGTTTACTAAAATTAGGTGTCACATTCTGTGTTGTTCTCGCTTTTCCACAAAATAATAAAAATAACAACAGCCTAGCTTCGGAAAATTTTCTTAACATTTATGAAATTTTGACGATAAAGAACATGAAAAAGAAAGTATGATTAAATCTTTAAAAGTACTGAAAACAGTTTTTTTTACTACAAAATATCGGTTTTTACTTAATTCTTTTACTGCATTTTACAAAAACCGATTCTTTACTCTCTAATCCAAAGAGATAAATTTCTTCTTATTACAAAATTTGCATTTGCTTACTTCAATGCTATAATAAGATTAATATTTTTAGACTCGCGAGAAATTGGGTTGAGTCGCCCGCCTAGAATCTTCCACATTTCTGTTTAATTGTAATTATTTTCCGAAAGTCCAACGAGGCGAGCAGAAGCGACTCCGAAATGCTTAACGCGTAATTAAGGAGCTGCTTTGAAGGACGGCTTCTTAGCTCGGTGCGTCGTTTATCAGCGCTTGCGAGCTTGCGAGCTTGCTTAGAAGGTACAGAGATAATAAATGAACAGCGGGAGTTTCTAAGCGGCTTAATTGCTTATGAGGGTGTTTACCAGGGAGCCCTTAGACCGCCTTCACCGAACGCAACAGGCGCGGGTGAGCACCATCAAGATTTCGCGCGGTATTAATGTAGATTAATGGAAAACTTCCTTGTCGTTTTGGCTGCAACTTTTCCTATTTCTTCGCCGACAGTTCCCACGAGCTATCGGCGATTATTAATGGACCCACGTCCTGACTTTCGCGTCCAGTTATTTTCTTTTTTACTAAACTCCCCACTTAAAATGGAACTTTTTACTCATCATAAACTTTGGGGAAACTTTGATTCCTGTGCCTTTTACTTATTTTATATGCGGGCTAGATGTAATTTTTCAGGCGCGGTAATAAATTCACGAATCTCGTTATCGATGTTTGAACAATCTTAGCTTCTAATAAAAAAACCTGTTCGAATGACAAAAGCGAAATAAAGATCTATCGTTGTTCCTTATTTGAAAATCGATAAGAATTAAAGAGAACACGCTTTCGCTGGATACAATGAATACGTTGCTCA